AGATTTGGTTTTATGTGCAGGTGTTAATAATGATGATGATAATTTATTTGTTGTTACAGGTATAAATCTTCCATTTAATCGATTATTGTTGTTTAGATTTTTTATTGCTGCAATTGTTGTCGGTATACGTGATGATGATGTGGTAGGCGTATTGGTGGGCGTCATACTAGATATTTTATCATTCTCAATCGATTGACGACGTGATCTATTGGTTATTGCAGGTTGTTGTTGTTGTTGCTGCAATGTTTGTTGCTGTCGTCTGCGTATTGCAGGTATAGGTGTTGTTTTGGTTGTTTGATCAACAATGACCATAGGTCGATGATTATTGGCAGCCATTAATCCTTTGATATTATTATTGCGATCAGGTATGGCAAATTGTTCATCAACTGGTGGTGGTACTGTTGATGATGATCCATTGTGATGATCAGTCAAAGAACACGATGATGATGATGATACAGATGTTTGATGTGATTCATTCGATGATATTGATGATCGACGTCCATTCATTATCATTGAATGATGTGTATTATGATGGTAATGTTGATCATTGTTACCTTGATGATTTAATCGTTGTTGTTGTTGACCGACAAACATACGACGTGCAGCAATTGGCGATGAATGATGATGATGATTACCACCAAACCGAATCGATGAATCAGGTCTTTTTGTTTTTGAAATCAATCAATCAAAGAATGGTAAAAAATCAATAATCGAGTTTTGGTAGCAGTGGATCGATCGCCCAAAACACTTACCTATCAAGTGTAACCTGCATTGTAATTGATTGCGGCTGTTGCTGCTGCTGCGACTGATTCCTTTGATGTACTGGTGTCACGTGATTTAAATTCGATGATGAATAAGGTAATGAAACTCGTGCGGAACCTGTATGGCGATGATGACCTGTTCGGAAATTATCAACCAAAAAAATTCATTGCGAATAAAGAAAACGCAAACAAAACGCAACCGCAAAAAAAAACTTACCAAAACGACAACGACATGGATCATGTTTTTCCAGATAATGTTCCAATGTATCCCTGTTACATAATGAAAAATTATTGAATTTTAAAATAAAATTTTTTGAATTTAAAAAAAATATGGCGCCATAAAAAAAATCATAGATTGCGTTCATAGATGGCGTAACTATGCTCGATGATTGGATTTTTTATGACGCCATCCATACAGAAAAATAGGCGAACGCGCGCGCAATCTTTTGTGTTTGAGTGTGTGTGGCGTGAGTGTGTTGTTGACCTAGATTATGTAATGATGATGATAATGGTTTTTTGTTTGTTGGCTTTTTGCTGATGCATGGTTAAACTGATGGCGCCTTGCCTTGCCTTTCTTATTGCTTATCCTATGTACGCGCCACACCATCCTCATTTATTTGTTCCAAGAAAGGAAATGGAATTAGTTGCTTGTTTGTTGATGATGGCCATTAATGAATCATCAAGGCGCTAACTAACTATGTTCCAAATATGACCACCACCA